TGATGATGATGATGATGATGATGATGATGATGATGATGATGATGACAATAATATTAATAATTATGATAATGATAATGATAATAATGATAATAATAATGATAGTAAGGATAACAACAACAATAATAATGATGGTAATGATGACAATAACAGTAATAATAAAATAATAATAATAATAATAATAACAATGATAAAGATAATAAGGTAATGCTAGAAATAACATCACTATCATTATTATCATTATCATCAACATTATCATCATCACCACCACCCTCATTATCATCATTTTCATCATCATTATTCTCATTTTTATTATTATAATAATGTTTATTCTCAATATCATTATTACAGTTATTTTTTTTCTATGATCATTATTACTATTAGCATTTCGATTGTTATTTACATTATCATTATCATCATTACCATCATGACAAAATCACATATCAAAATCATCCTCATTACCGTCATTACTGCTACCAATATCATTATCATCACAATCATAACATTATCCTCAGTTTCTCCACATCATTATTACTGCCGCTCATCATATCCCCCCCCCACAGCCTTGTTTCCCTGCAACCTGCAACCACCGTCACAAGCGGACACGAAACAAGCGGATCCACATACATGCAAGCGCGTGGGTTTGCAGCCTGGCTCGAGGTCTCACAAGCTCTCCTATCTGACGTGCGGGTGGCCCTTGAGTGAGGAGCAGCAATCCTCACAACTCATGCACTGCAGGCGCACGGACTCCCCCGGGAGGCTTCTCTCGCTGGTCTTGTCTGTGGGCGTGCACGAGGGGCGTGAGGGGCTTAGAGAGAGGGGCGGGGTTTCGGGTGCGGGCCTTATTGTTAGGGTTGTTAGGGTTGTTAGAGCGCACAGCAGGTGTTTGTGATCGTTTGGGTTGGGCTTTGAATTTGCTGTTTTTGTTGATGTTAGTGGTGGCAAGGTCTACAGCATTTATGTTAGTAAGAGAAATTACATCTATATGAACAGGAGCATTTATTTTTAATTTGTTATTGCAAAGTCTACAGCTTTCAACGAGAAATCTTGATTTCTCCGTTTTCTTTTTTTAAGATACCCTCTCCCTGTGTGAACTCACCTGTCTGGAGGTAGAGCGGTTGCTTGGAGGCGAGGAGGGCGCGGCTGCCGTCGGGGCTCCTGGCGTGGTTGAAGGACGAGGTGGCAATAGTGGAAGGCGCCGAAGGGTCGTCGAAGGTGGCGCCAGGGTACTTGGAGGGGCGCCAGGGGGACGCGCAGGGCATGGCGTGGGCGCCGGGCGCCGTGCCGTGGCCCTGCAGGAGGCGGCCCTGGTGCGAGCCGTTCCACGACGTGAGGCGGAAGGTGTGCGTGGAGCGGCCGTTGGTGAGGAGGCGCGACTCGCCGAACACCGTGTTGTTGGCGAAGGCGCCCGACTCGGCCATGGCCGTGTCGCGCGCCGCCGACGCCGCCAGGATGCGCGAGCAGAACATCTTGAGGAACAGCTTCCGGAACTTCTGGCCGAAGATGCAGTAGATGATGAAGTTGACGGACGAGTTGACGGTGACGAGCAGGTTGCTCGAGATGGTCAGCTCGTCGATGGCGATGTCCAGGAGCTCGAGCACGTTGATGATGAAGGCGAGGACGTTGCACACGAAGAACACCGTCACCACCACCAGCAGCATCACCGCCAGCCCGATCTCCTTCTTCTCCAGCCGACTCAGCCGCTGCCGCTCCTGGTTGGCGGCGCGGACCTGCGCGAAGCCGGGTCGTTAGCAGTCGAGACGTGCATTGCAGAGCAGAGGCCCTTGGGGCTCGTGCTCTCTAATGTCTAATCGTCTATGGGAGCTCTAATATATCAGTGACATCTATATAGGATATATATGAATATTTAAGACAAAACTGACTTTTGAATGGATAAAAGTCCATAAGATAAGGCAGAAATAGGATTAAACAAACATTTTCTTGTAATCACTGACTAATGTGAGCTTCTTTGCTCTTCCTTTACAAAGCACGTGGCTCTTTATAAATTAACGACAGGATCTAATTACGGAATTCTTATTGCATGACGCCAAACGGAATCATACTCTCTCTCTCTATCTCTATCTAAATATCCATCTTCCCTTCCTTTCTCTCTATATATTTCTATTACTTTCTCTCTTTCTACATCTCCCTTCCCCTCCCCCTTCCCCTTCTCTCTATCTCCCTAAGATGACCAGGGAACAGACAGCCACCGACGAGACTCACCTCCCTGTAGATAAACGTGTTGAAGATCATGAGGCTGAGGAACGGGATGAGGTACATGATGAGGAGGTACATCCACATGATGTACACCTGCTTGTAATAGTCGTTCTGGCGGAGCTTCGACGGAACCACGATCACGAAGGAGAAGTCCTCGAACTCGCACACCTGTTTCGGGGCGCGAAAGGGGGTGATTAGGGCGCAGTTGGTTAGGGAGGGGTTGATTGGGGTTAATTAAGGAAGGGGGTTGGTTAGGGCAGAGTTAATTGGGGAAGGACTGATTAGG